GAGTCCTCTTCAGCAGAGCTCCTCCAAACCTCCTCTTTGTATGCTCTTCCTGAAGGTGCAAACTCTATGACAGGTTTCCATGTTTAATTCACACCAGCAAGTAATCTTTCCAGTCAAGGGGGTTGATTTAATGGCAAGAACAATTTATTTCCCTGTGGGTAGGTAGAAACAGTTGGACTCTAATTCTTAAGAGCCTTTGTTCAGGAACATCTGGGTTGAAACTACTGTAGTTAACAGATGATGTTGGCAGTAAAAAAAAAAAAGGGGGGTGGGGCTTTGTATAATGTCGTTGTCAAATTTGGTAGACCTCTACTTAATAATTACCAAGAAAGTAATCTAACTTGTTATTATAACATTTTTATTGCAGATTGCTGGTTTAAGACCTTTCGGTGACAAGTGGCATTTTTTTTTCTCAAAAAAGAAGTCGTTTCTATTCCCCTGTAATTATTTTTGCAACCAGAAACAACTTCCTGTGTTGGACATATTGGGGCATTTTATTTTAGAAACCAAGAATTAAATTATTGCTAGCTTATGGCTGATTTTATCCCATTTTTCACATTGTGAAGGCGTTCTTGCTTCCTTTTTTGCCCCTTACCTCACCTCATCCCGCTTCCTGGTTCCACACCAGTTCTGTATACATGGAAACACTGTAGGCTGAGTAAAGGTAGAATGAGAATAAGGATTCAATGCCTAATGCCCATTCTTCTTTACCAAAAAATGGTGTTGAATGTTGCAAGTCAATGTTTAACCAGAGAACATCAGTCATGGGTAGACTGAAAGTATATACATTCTTGGGAGTGTAGGGGGTACATAAGGGTATAAGAGGGTCTGTAGAAGGTCCCGAGGACAAATGGTTATATTTTAGAATTGGACTTGCATCTTGGCATTGTGGATTGAAGGCAAAAATTAGATTCCCAGAGCATATCACTGCTTTTTTTCCTTCTGTATCCTTCCTTTCCCATCTGTCTGCTTCTAACAAATAAGACAAGCTAAGAAGCAGCTTGTTTCATGATGCTATACTCACTTCCAAGCTTTCTCCACATAGACTTTCCTAGTTTGCCACTTTGTCTGTTCTCCATCACTTCAGCTACTCATGAGATTCTTCTCCCCTTTCATACATGCATTTATTTATCCCACCTTTACTGAAGGCTTACTCTTTGAACTTTGCAAAATGCCAGTGAGGCAAAGCATACGTCCTGTACAGGAAAAACTCAGTCTAGAGGGGAAAGATAATTAAACAGGTGATTACTGCACCAGCTCCCCTGTTTACTCACTTTGCTCTTCCCCACTGGGCATCTCCAACAGAGGCTGCATCTCTGCAACAGGATGGAGTCCTTAAGCCCAGGATCCTGATATTGGCCAACTATCTGTGGCAGGATCTAACAAAAAAGTGTGACTTGAACACTCACAGAGGGAGCCACAGCTCTGTGTCCAGTGTAAATCATGGTTGATTATGCATGATTTGTATTTTGCCAGTATCCAAAGGATACCTATTACAGTAGGGATTAAAAACTTAGATACCTGTAGGAGTCAGGCAGTTACCAACAAAGAATGAAGAGTCAGGCGGTCTGAGACAATAGAGAGTGGTGGGGACTGTGGCACCTTGGAGAACAAACATCTCATCCAGAGGGATAAGTGCTTCGTAGCTGCACTCCGTTTTAGCCATATCTGATTTCTCAAGGAAAGCTGAAAAGCCAGTTTTTATTTGAATTCACTTGTTGACATCTATTTACAGTTTTTAAAAAACACTGTACTCACCAAACAGAATGTGTCTGCCTGTTGGGCTTGTGACTGCCACTTCATTTCCTCTGTTCTGATGAGAAGCATCTGTGCAGCACACTGCCTCAAAGAGTCAATTTCCACTTTTGACTTTTTACATAAAAGCTATTTGACCTTGACCCAATTGCTTCCCCCTGTTTGGACCTCAGTTTTTCATCTGCATAGGAAGAGCAGGATTGTCCAGTCTTGAAGGGCTGATCTGCAAATCTGTGTTGTGGTGTGGCTTGCCTATGTTCTCTCTGTTCACATCATTCTACCCCTCTCCTTTCCTTTAGCCAAAGGGCAACAGCTTGTTTTGGGTCAAAGGACTTCTTAAAAAGGGGCTTCTATAAGGCATGTAGAATTATCTTAGGTATGGATTTGAATTTATGGAATTAAAACTGGAAGAGGACTTAGATCTGCAGGTCCATCCCCTATAAGGTTAAGGAATGAGTACAACACGACATAGATTTTATGAACTTTCCTGCAGTAGTAGCTAGGAAGACATAATTCACCATTACAATGAACTGTTTCTTCCCTTCTTACCAGTGGGATCAGGTTTATAAAAGCAATGAAGATCTTTGATCCCATGAACTACCAGAGTCCCAAATTGGACTGGTCATTGCTCATAGGATATCAGCAAATTAGCCTTTGCATGATCCATACCAAGTTAAGATCAGCCTTCTCCCTGATGTTTTGGCATTTAGCTACTATTTATGTTACAGCGTGGTTACTTAATGTGGTAATTTGGTTCAGTAAACATTGTACAAGCTATCTGATTTTTTTTTTTAAACAATGTAAGCTCCAGAAGTAACAGTCCCATAAAGGGTGCATGTTAGCAGTGCTCTTTGGGACATAAATTAAGGAGGGCATTTTCCAGCTGTAGTTGGATATGTGTGTTGGTGTTTCAGCAAGCTGCATAATCAGCACAAAGCCCAGGTCATTAGAGTCTGCTGGCAGGAATCAGAAAACCTGCAAATCACCAGGGGATCCCAGATATGCCTGGATAGAAGTGGTCCTTTGACATCTGACTGTCTGCTGAAGGCAGTGCTGGGGACCACAGCCTCACATGTAGGAATGAGCAATTTGGTTTCAGAGCATGAGGCCTTTGCCAGCACTCTCCTTGAAAGCAACACATCCCCATATCCAGCACATCTGATTATGTCACTTTTCTATTTTAAACCAACTGAAATCCCCCCATTCCACTCATAATAAGCTGCAGACTCCTTGCTCCGGAGAGCAAAGACCTTACCATCTTGCTCCACCTCATTTCCTGACCTAATCACTGTCACGCTTGACTTTGCTCACTCAGCTGCAGTCTTACTGGATTTATTGCTGATCTTCAAATACCCAGAGCTCTTTCCTGCCTCAGGGCCTTTGTGCCTGCTGTTTCTACTTGCTAGAAAGCTCTTTCCCCATATCTCTTCATCACGCTGTTGTGCTCCTTGCATCCTCAGAATGATCCAACAGAACCACCACAGATTATATACCCCTTCTGAGTTACTCTTTAGCTTCTTAGGTTGTTTTATTTTCAGATAGAACTTGTCATCATCTAGAAATTTATTATTTACTCACTTGTATATTTGCTTATTGTCTGTCTCTCCCACTACAAAATAGGCTTCACTGGAGGTCAAGATGTAATGTCTCCTGCCAGGTATTAGCTAGAGGCCTTAGGCAGGTTACATGGACTTTCTGACCCTTGGTTTCATCACCTGTAAAATGGAGCTATCAGTAGAAGTCTGGATAAATAGGGGTAGTAACTTCCTCTTAGGGATATTGAGGGGGTTAAATTGAACCACCAGGAGGTCCTCTCCCCACTGTGACCCAGCACCTTACCCCACTTACAAGGCTAGAGCTAAATAAGCATCAACTCATTATTCAATCTATCAGTTAATCAATGTTTTATTATTCAAAAATGGTGATGCTCACTGTAGAAACTTGTCATACATTATATATATAATTATTTTGTTCATGTGAGCTTTTATTTCTATAAGTATGTAAGTATATAGTTTCATCTAATTGTATTGTGCTATTTGCATGTTCATGTCTTTTTATATATTTGTTCTATTTACATGTTCATGTCTTTAATATTTGTTCATTTTATATCTTGGAATATTCTTTGAAAAGCCATTTAGAATGCTGTCTAATACCACATTGCACTGTACTTTATTGCCTTATTATTGGACATTTAGGTTGCTTTCAGTTTTTCTACTCAGTATAAATAATACTTACTCTGAACATCTTTAAGCATAAATATTTTACTGCACCTTTTGTTATTTTCTTAGAATTGAAACCCAATAAGTGGAAACCATTTGTTTAACTTCTCTGTATTGGTGGGTCTATTGACTATGCACTATGGAGAATTCCGAACAAGTCCAGCTCTCTTAAGGAAGTTTCCCTGTTTGAGGAGACAAAGTTCACACACATGAAACAATAGGGAGTGACCATAGCCAGCATAACATTGACTAAAAGCTCAGTGATTTGGTTGCGGACAAGGTGCTGGGAGAGTTTTGAGAATAGAAAATCACAGGGTAGCAGTTGCTGGAGAAGACCTACTAGTTGGAAGATTAGAGTTGATGTGGCATGGGAGGATGGGCTGGGAAGAGAGAGGGCATTGGGAGTGGGGGCCACACAAGGGAGGGGACGGAAACAGGAACAAGTCAGCCTCAAAGCAGTCTGCCCTGCAGTTGAGAGCATCGGGCAGATGAGGTGAGACAGCTTGGATGGAGCCAGGAGTGACAATGCCATCGTCATGTGCTGGGCACTTACGCAGAGGCAAAGTATTATTATCATCATTCCAAGCACACAGGGGTCTGCTCGGAACAACAATATGAGCCATTTGTACAAAAGACTGAATGGAATCCAAATAGCAGGTCCAGCTGGTCCAAATCTTTCCCTCCCCCTGTAGTTAACATTTTACTACCCGACTGAGTAACTAATGAATCTGGCCCAGTGAAAATCCCCAGGCACAAATCCCTGCTTGGGCTCTGTGTCTAGACAGCCAGACCAGAGTGCAATTTGCACTTTGAGTATTCAGCACCTTATCACTTGCAAGAAATCAGGTTTAATGGGGAAGATGGGGAGGTGTTGCTTCCACTCCCTCCCTTTGGCACAGGGCTGGTGGAATGAGAAACCCCTCAGATAATGACTGCATTAGGAGACTGGAAGATCATAATAATGTTTGTTATGTGTCTCTGGTCATTCAGAAGCACTGATTGGGAGGCTTCTCCATCTCATTGCAGGCTGTGTTTTGTGAAGCTCAAGCTCCTAATGATAGCCATTGAATACAAGTCTGCCAACCGAGAGAGCCGGTAAGTTTGCAGCGACCCAGCGGCTGGCTTTGGTGGTGAGAGTGCATTCTGAGAACGGTCGGTTCACTTCTGCTTTTGTGTGCATTATTTATCTGCATAGAACCAGACGTAACACTTCTCTGACCCTAAAGCACATTTTGAGGGATGCCCTACCAGACACTGCAGCTTCTATGCCAGACCAGCCTGGCATCCAAAGCCCTGCTGGGCATTAAGAGAGTGTTTATCCAGGGGAGAAGGATGAATCCTCCAAATATCTCCACCTGATCGTGCCGACCTGGACTTTTCACCTTCTAAGTGTTAAACTAGACCTTAAAACCCTTTTACACTGCGGTGAGCAAAAAAGCAGGTGGACTCTGACCTCCTTTACAGCAGCCTTGAGATAGAGCTGTGAGGGGAGACACCAGCTCTCTTGATAGCCAAATTACAAGCAACCTATTGTGTACCATATGTGCTTCTCCCGGTGCAACCAAAATCCAGGTGGCAGAATATCAGCTTCATGTAAATGAGCCAGGAGAGTGGGGCTCAGAGGCAGGAGCTCTCCTTATTTATTTATTTTACACTTAATTATGTGCAAATCAGACTGATGAGGGACTGGGTCTGGTTGAAATAGATAACATCCCAGTCAATATACGAGTTTATGCTGGAAGAGGGAAGCATCGTGCTAACAAGAAATTTTGCTGATGGAGTACTGTATGCATTACAGATACAATAGAGATGATTTTTTTTTTGTTGTTCCTTAATTCTTGTCAATAGTTTTGGGAGAAACAGAACTCATTGAGAAATACTCAAGCTTTTGTTCCCTGAAATGATACCCATAGTCTATTCTTCAGTAGTACATTTTTTTTTTTTTTGATCCTGCAGATGCCCAAATGTAGAGGGCAGATCTCCTCCACCAAACACCTTAATAACTGAGCAGAGTACAGGGCAAGACTAGAAGTTTCCTGTTATCATCGTTTAAGTTTTCCTTATCTGGGTGAATGACCCAATACAGCCAGACTTTCAAATGTACAGTCTGTGTCTATGACAAGACAAAAGAAAATAAAATACTGGATTGTCAGCAGATCAGTCCAATGTTTTCTGTTACCTTAACTTCCAGATCAGATTGCTCACAAAGTCAATCTGATCAAATGTTAAGCTATTTTGAAAATCCAAATCAACCAAAAGGAAGAAAAAATGGTAGATTTGGTGGCCGTATGTAGAACATGGCTGTAGCGGTTAACAGATAGGTAGATAGATAAATATTTTCTTTTTCATGTTGGCAAAGTGAAGAGTATTGCTTGCAAAATCTGAGAGTCCTGGTTATTTGCTGTTCAGCAGATGAGGCAGAATTTTCTGGAATTACTGTTTGCCCATGTTTTTGCCAATACTCACTTGTACCTGTGTAGGGGAACTGTGTGTATCCTGGATTTTTGCAAATGATATTCTCCACATTGCCAACTCAGCAAATCTTTGTGTACTTCAATGTTCTCTATTTACTTTTGTGTATCTTTCAAAAAAAAAAAAAATGTCATGATGTGGGTGATGCTGATGCTGAATAGTGTTTTTTGACCATTCTGGAATGATCTGACTACAGGACATTGCACCCTGAACCTTGAGCACTTGTCTCTAACTCATTTCCTTTTGATCCCAAGGAGACAGAAAGAGTAAAATGCTGTTAATGGTTCATTGTGAACCCAATGTCACCATTCTAAGAAAACAAACTCAGAGCTGAGGATGAAACTTTTCTTCTATAGATCTTTAAATTGAGTCACAATTCTGAGATGTTTTCAACAAAGCCATGTTTATAGATATAGTTTTTAGTATTTTTCTTTTTCAGAACAGGGCAAAAAGGACTTGTTTGGCTTTGTTTGGGCTTTCTATGTGCAGTTACCAGCTTTAATTCTCAAATGTGGCTTGGTCTCAGTGTGGAAGCACATTGGTTCTTGTGGAAAAAGGTGTGTTTGAGGGAATGTGGATCATGCCTCTGAGAAAACACAGGACTTAAACAATATCCACGTTAAAGATAAACAATTTTTTTTTATCTTCCCTGAGAATAATTTTAATATTTTTCTTTATTTAAAAATGTCCCACTTCTTTTCCTCTCACGTTTTCTAACCAACTGGGTGTGAAAATTCCAAGGACCTGCTTCTCCTTTCCACCTTCGTTAACCCGTGTTTAACAGCCTCTTTTGTTGTTGGTTTCACCCCATGATACTGTTTTCATGCTTTGCTGAAAAACCTTGTTTTCACATGCATCCTTCAAATGATTTGAAACAAAGGTTTTATTCCTTCTTTCCTTCTGGTGTCAGTCAATTTATTATCAAATTGTTTGATTTTAAATTCTTTTCTTGTCGTTTTGCAGAAGCCGAAAGCGGTATGCTCTTCGTTAACTTTTCTTCCAACCTCCACCCTCTATCTTCACTCCTAACCACAGGACTAACCATTTGCCAAGAATTCAAGAAGAGAGAGATTATATATATATATATATATAATCTCATTCCCTTGTCCAGTGTATATATATTATATATATATGAGTGTATATATATATGTGTGTGTGTATATATATATATATATACACACACACACCCCTCTCCAACTAGAGTGCATAAATTGGAAGTAGCCTATTTCTGTTCTTGTTTGATTTGTTGGTTCTTTTGGATGACGCACTAACTTCTTTGCAGGAAACCAAAAAAAAGGAAAGGCACACTCCTGTTTTCAGTCATGGTACTAATAATGGGAACAAATACTATTAAAGCTGAAAAGGAGGACGCTTCTCTCCAGCCCTTTGTGTCTGTTTCTGTATTGTCCTGATGTGTTTTGATGTCCATTGGACTCTGGTCCCATTTTTGTCTACATACCACATCCACATTCCCAGTGACCTCCTCCTCCCTGTGTCGAGTTTCTGGTGTATAGAGCAGAGTTCGTGTCCTTTTATCCACAAAACAGAGACCAAGCCCTTACATTTCTATTTTTGCCTTACATTTATTTTGGTGATAACATTTTGAAATTTTATTCCTTGGGCAGTGCTCCGTATAGACTTTAGAACACTGCTATTAAATTGCCAGATTATCACACTTGATTTACTGAGTTAGTATTGTTTATTGAGACAAACTCATGAGTTTTTTTTTAATCATAGTGTGTTTTTGGGCATATTTCTTAATATGAAGTTTCTCAATTTTCACCATGTGATTTCACCCTGTTTTGCTGCTGTTTTACATTGCACGAAGCATGACTAAATCATCATCAATGGCATTTAAAAAAAACTTTTGGGCTATTAGTTCGGGCATAGCTTTTCAATAATGTGTTCTCCAAGACAATATTGTTGAAAACATACTATTGAGATGCCTACTTGTTCATCTTTTCAAGAGTTACTTTTCTCTGTGATTGTAATCACTATCATGTGTTTGTGTTTGTAATTGTGTGTGTGTGTGTGTATCTGTGTATTTGTCTGGATCTCTTTCCAAAGTCCAATTCTTCTGTGATTGTTTGAGTACATGTGAACAAATAGAGGTGGCTTCCTGTCAGTTTGGTATTAATGATGTGATCCAACTGCAAGAAGTTACTGCAACACTTTGCATCTTAAAGGTCCACAGTGTTTGCACCTCTGCTGTTGGCTTTTGGCCTTTGAGTTCTTTTATCTTGTGGTGAAGGCATGTTGTGATGTAGGCATGACTTGTCCTAAATATATCAGAAAATGATTTGGCTTGCTCCCAGAACCAAATATCCAGTGTTATCCTTTCTAGATTACCTCTCTCTTCCCCATCCCATATGGCTAATATTTTCTGTATGTGCAAAACACATTTGAAAATGCCATTTCCAAAGTTATTGAGATGGATGCAGGCTAAGTAAGTCCTCACCAATATTTCTGGTGGACCACAGTGGCAGTTAATTTGAGTCTGGGCAACTGGGAGCAATCTTTATCATGCTGTCTGTGTGTAAGTGAACTGGGCTTAAGTATCTTGACGTATGAAACACACAACTGTGTCTCCAGTGGTATTCTAAAGTAAAAGTGTGTGTGTCTAGTTGGGTGGGACTCCAGCAGCCTATATTTTAAAGCCCAGAAAAAATGGAAAGTTCCAGAAAAGTGATAAGATTTGAGATGTGGGGTTTCTCCGGGCTGTGCCTGTACATGGCCTACAAACTACAAATGCAGTCATACTCCCTGAGAGGGGATGCAATTGGTTCAAACAAAGTTCCAACTCAGAATCATTGTATACGAACTTGTGTCATCAAAGAAGCCTCTTCTCAATGGCATGATTCATCTGGACATAGCATGAACGGAAACCCTAAATGGTTCTTATTTGCTTGCTTTAGTTAATGAAGTCCCATTAGCTTACTAGGCACAAATGTAATTACCATGTTATTAAGTACAAACTGTCTTCTCATATGAGTCATGCTATTTTTAAAAAATTGCCTGAGGAATGGTACATTACACCTACCAAAAATGGAAAGGAGAGGAGAGAAATATGTATCCATCATATTTACCCATAATGGATAGAAGTTTCCTTAAAGAATATCTGTTTCAGTTGAATTACCAATCATTGATTGTCTCCAGAAACAGGAAACAGGTTTACAATGATTGAAGGCAAACCTAGATGTCTTCCCATTATGCACAAGTGGTGGAGAAAGGAATACATCACCTGCCTCCACCGAGCTACAGTCTTCCAACCTGACCAGTGTTTAGTGAGAGATTGAGAGATACCCAATGAAATATGATCCAACTTGAGATGTGGTGCTGCTCTCATGGAGGAACCTGATGGAGACATTTCCCCGTGGGACTGAGCCCTGCTAGCCAATTCTGTGTAGATGTGTTTTATGTTTAGGAACACATATTTCTCTTTGAAGTTTTGCTTTCAATGTTGAAATCAATTGCTCCAACTTCACAAGTGGCACGCTGTTTACATATTGGTATATTTACATATTCCTACTTAATGCATCTGAGAGATTGCTAGTTCATTTGCCAATCCCCTAGCCCTAGCAGAGGTGTGGTCACTCCTTTGACTGGCCTGACTGATGAGAATTGCAGCTTGTTCTTTGAAAGAAAACTGTGACTTTCTTTCCACTTGTTTATGAAGAAAAGGAAAGTTCTTGGAACTGAGGCTTAAAAACTTATCTTTTATTTTTTAAATTTATTTATTCAACAAATAGTTGAAATGTGCTTATTACATGCAATGCTCTTAGCCTGCTACTCCAAGAAATTCAAAAGTAAACAATACAATCATGTTTTATACCCCTCTACTTAACCGTGGGTTCCTTACAGAAAATACATATTTCACCATGTTGGCCAGGCTGTACTTGAACTCCTGACCTTGTGGTTGAGGCAGGAGAATCGCTTCAACCCAGGAGGTGAAGGTTGCAGTGAGCTGAGATCACGCCACCGCACTCCAGCCTGGGCAACAGAGCACGACTCTGTCTCAGAAAAACAAAAACAAAAACAAAACATATTTGCTCCATATAGGAAGTGAGTAAACAAAGAATAAGTCGAGATGTAAAACTAGTGTGAGAGCAAAAGAAACAGAGAGAGCAAGTATCCTTGAAGAAGGGACCACACCAGCCCTGTGCTTCCAGCTGACACTAGATGTTTTCTGCTGAAACCAGTAAGGTCAAAGAAGAAAGGATAATTTATATGTTCCTTGAAATGAGAGAAAGTCCACCTCTGCCAAGATGTCCTTGTTGGAATTCTGTCAATGGATATATGGGCTTTTTCTTTTGGAGATTTTCATGATTTTTCATATGACACATGTTGAAGTTTATCTCTGATAAGCTAATGAATTACATCAAGTTGGAGCCAGAGAACTGATTTAGAGTGGCGCACAGGGAGGGAGAATTTTGGCAATCATTAGAACAAAACAAACTTAACACTGGATACTCTCCTAAAGAGATCAGAGATCCTTGGAAAAATACATGTATTCCTATTAGGAGATCAATGACACATTCTAAAGATAGTAGGCAAAAGGGGGAGAAAGTTATGGCTATCTAGAGTCCTTGTCTTTTTATATTTTGAAGAAGAGGGGGATAGCATTTTATTTAACCTTTCTATATGTGGAATATGTATAGAAGAATTAATGTCTAAAATATCAAAAAAGTAAAAACAAAAACAACCAGTAATGTAGTTCCCGGTGCTTCAGCACCAAGAGCATCTTTATGTATCTAGATTTCTTTCTTTCATTATTTCAAGGGCTAGGTCCATTCTTTAGATTCCCATCTAGAAGGCTGCCTTAGCCTTCGCTCAGTATCTGCAAATGGTGCTGCCTCACACCTCACATGGGGATGATTTAAACCCCCTCACCACCCCTGTCCACACAGGGAGCAAGAGGGCATCCTGGAATCCACATGGTCTGTGAGGTCACTAGAGATGCTTTTGTTTCCTTACACCATCAGCCATAGATTTAAGAAACAGATGATACTTCACCATGCAGACAAAAGTCAGTCTAAATTAGCCCATCACCAGATATTGTGCAGGGATATGATGTTTTGGATTTTTTGCATCAGTGGAAAGGTCTTTCAATGCCAAGAGGGCACCTCCTGGGTCATTTATTAGCAGCAGGGATAAAGTGGAGAGTGGTGGTGCTGTGAGGATTTATTTACCTCTCAGTTTTATAATCACCTAGCTCACTCAGAGTAGCAGCTATGAATTTAAGACCTTCTATGTCTCAGTCACTTAGCACATAGTACATACTTTAACTCTCTTAAAGACATTGTAAGCTAGCAATTATTCACCCATTTTACAGATGAGAAGTGTAAGGCCTACCTGCATTTACAAAGCCAGGACCCAAATAGCTGAGAACTGATTCACATGCCTGAGCACTTAACCAACATCAGGAACAAACCTGGGACACCAATGTGCTTTACATCAGAGCCCCAAATCTTTCTTCTCTACCTCACTAACCAGACTAAAGCAAACTCAAAATCTGTAATAAATTATCTTAACCTGTGCTCTCTATAATGCCAATTCTAAATGTTCACTGTAGGCCTATTCTCCAATTCTTGTTCATTGTTGATAAAGAATAATGTAGCACATAATGTGAAAAAAGGAAACAGTGTTCTATATGATGCTTGTTTTTTTTCATATATGTCACCAAGATGTTGATGTGGGTCAAACTTTTCCTTTTGAATTCTATTGTTCAAATCACGATAGGACTTTTTTCCAGTCATAAATTTTTCTTGCATTTTTATATGAATGCATGTCAAAATGTAGGCTTTTGTAGCTTTAAGGAACTTTCCTTTAGGCTCCAGAAGTGCATGGAATTTTTTGTGTATGTCCTTATACATTATTCTGGAATGTACAGTTCTTTACCCTATAACTTCATCTCATTAATGAGCAAGGTAGTTTGATAAGGAGCCTGTATTATATTCCATGGGGTCAGCTAGATAAAATTTCTAATAACTTTGTTGAAAATGAAATACACTTTGGATTTTTTTTGGTAAGAATTAAAGGAGCAATAACCCATATGCATTGAGCCTTCTATACATTATCTCACTTAATTTTCTGAACAAAGACTATTATTACCATTATTCACCTCTTGTAGGTAAGAAAATTGAGTTCTAGGGAGATTTAATAACGGCCCAGAGTCCAACAGCTATTAAGTGGTAGTGCTTGAATTTGGACCCAAATTCTGATTGCAGAGCCAGGACATGTAAAAACTGCCTTGCAGGAAAGGAGGTAAGAAGATGTGCAAAATTTAGAATGCCGCCTTTCTAAAACATCATATTGAATTGGCTTTGAAAAATAGATTCATCTAAACTATATGTGCTCTGACACTTCGCCATCCTGATTGCATGAAGTCAGAGAGCTCATTACACTCATATGAAGGGTCGGCGGAGGGGTGATTAGGAGGTGCCTATGGAGAGCTGCTGCTCAGCGCAGGCCGTGCTATTAGTGTGAACTGCTGCTCTCTGATTTGGGAGGAATTGCATTGCTGCCTGTGGTTGTAGGGCAGAACAGTCAAATCTTCATAGCCTTTTGCTATTATTGAGTGTTAATAATAGCCATGAAACAAATACAGCTTCCTCCTGTCAGGTCTTGTTATAGGTAATGGTAGATGTTCTTGTGACCACAGACAATTATTTTGCAATAATAGTCTTCTCAGAGGTCTCCCAACCAGGTGAACCTTTGTTCACCTGGGTCCTTCCTGTATGACTACAGACATGTCACTTTGTTGATCACAACACTTTTCTGGAATGGTTTACCAGTAGACAAAAGAGATTACATGGTGTTAATTACCATCCTTTATATTTTGATTGTTTGGGGTAGCTGAGAACTTCCTTTAGACTGATTCCAAATATCTATTACCTTTTTAAGCAACAGCTTTTCAGAACAAGGAATACCTCTGTTGTGTCTGTTGCTTCACTCGGAGTCCCTAAGTTCAGTATTCATTAAGCCTAAATTCTCTTCTCAGTCTCTGCATAAGACATTCTTGTATTCTGCTTTTGATCTGCAGAAAAGTAAACTTGTTTGTTTCATCTATTTATTAGATTAGAATACGTATGTCTCTTCTGTGAGTTCAAGCACAATGTGGCCAGTGAATCTATTTACACCACTTTGAAATAGGACAACGTATATTTAGGTTCCCACTTCTCTGTAGGGCAAGTTTACTTTAGGGGTGGTTTGCATTTGTTTTCTCAATTTGCCTCAATTAGGACATGCTAGACACACATCTTATTCAAACACCTTGTATGTTTTTGTAAACAGCAGACTGGAATCGTTAAGTATATCCAACTGCTGACTTAAAAAAAAAATCTGTTTGGGTAAATTCAATTCTTCCTATAAAGGCTGTACATGGAATCAATTTCCATGTCCTTATCAGTGTCATGAAGATGTTCAGTTTGCTTCCACATTGGTTATGGGTGTCTTGTACCATTCCCTGGGGTAATATGTGGTGCGTATACATGTATGTTTATGTATACATATAGGGGTCCCATTAATGCTTTGTCATCTAATGGAAAACTGGTATAGCAGTAGCTTCATCAGGCCAATAATGCTTCCGTGTTGATCACCAGTAGCAGTTTTAAAAGGAATTTATCCTGATGGACTTTGCTTCAAATCATATGCCCATGATGTCAGCTAGACTGCCCCATTATATAAACCTGGCCCTAAAACCTTGATTTGCTTTGATTTCCTCAACTGGGAGCATGCCAACCTGGGAATTAAGCAGTAGTGCTTAATGATGGCATTATCTAACTAAATGTGTGGGACAGTGGACATCGGGCTTTGGACAAAAGTCTTTGGGGAGAGCACTAGACTAGTGGGCCCCCTATAAACACAACAGTACGGTGTAGCCTCAATTTTTAAATTCAGAACATGACCTCACAAATGTGTCTTCTCTGTTTTTTTTTTTTTTTTTGTTACTGAGCAGTATATTAATTAATCCTGGAAATCATCTTAAGATCCAAGAAGGTACTTTAGGATTTTTCATCGCAAGTGATGCCAAAGAAGTTAAAAGGTAAGAATTTATTTTCATCTGGCTTTCTTTCTGGCCCAACCATAGACCCCTTGACCCACATAAGTAGGCAGACTTCCATAACCCCAAAACTCCTTAACGTTGTCTATGGGCATCAATTGGTGTAACAAAAACTTCCATGGACTCCTGTTCATGTAGTCAGTTCCATATATTTGAATAAGAATAATAAAATTTTAGAACTAGGGAGCCTAGTTACCTTCTCATTCATTTTATGGGGGAGAAAATGGAGGCTCAGAGAATTGAACAACTGATTTCTGATGACCCAGAAAAACATAACAAGACAATTGGCTCCTTATTGAGTGCTCTTTTTATTATATGAGAAATTTACTTGAGAATTATCAGTTTTCTACTGTCCCTGCCAAACAGAATTTCAAAAGGTTTGGATTAATTTCAGATGGAATGTGAAACTGGCTCTATTTCTATTTGTGGCCTCCTGGGTAAGTGGCCGAAGTTGTCAGCTTCAATTATCATGCCACTGTAGGTGCAGCACAGGATTTCATCGGCCTGCATGTGTCATGACATTTTTATTTGTATCCTTAAACCTGTTTAAGCAGCCTAGAAATTCACAGGGCCCTTTGCAGCACAACATGGATTATTGCATTTGGTTCTATCCTATGAAATTGAAGACATTTTCTAGCAGAAAATGTGATGCAACTGGTCAGACAGGTCATTCAGTTCAACGATAACATTCCATAAAATATTTTAAATACATTATTAATTGTGAAGTTCTATCATTATTTACATAAGTCTACTGTCTTCATTGAATGAGTTCCTAGTCAAAGCCAGGCCTGTGCTAAGTGTGCTACATTCTTTATTGCTGCTCTTTAAAATAACCCTGAAAGGTAAGCCTTCTTAAACACACAGAGGTTTGGTTTCCTCATCTGTAAATCGAAATAAATGATTTGTCCAAGGCCATGAGGTACAGAAGTAAGTGGCAGAGCCCGGATGGGAACTGGTCTTTCCTTTTCTAAAATCCACTCTCTTTCTGGCAAATTTAATAATACTAACACATTCTTACATAGGAGGGCTTATTACACGCCAGCAGTATTCTAGGTACTACGTTCTCTGTATCTAAAACTCATTAAAATCTCACAGCAACCCCATGAGATAGGTAGCATTACTATTTCCCACTTTACATATGAGGAAACTGAGGTGCAACTTGGCTAACTAACTTGCCGAAGGCCACACTGCCAGTGAGTAATAAAGCCAGGAAGTTTGATTCCAGAGCTTGCGCTCTTAATTATTTGCCTAGGGTGAACCTGACACGCTGAGCACAGAATGATGACAAGTGACCACAGATATTTATGATCCTCTTCCTCCCTACCGGCTCTAGCAAACTAAGCTCTACTGGCCACAGAAGCTTTCAGGAAAAAGAAAATGTGGGCTGATGGAAGAAAAAAGAATTCTTAAAACTGAGCTCTCCAATAACTTAAATTTACTTCTGCAAATTAGAGAAAGATTGCCATGATTCAGTTGTTGGAGAAAAATATCCCCCTACTCAGTTCATGGAATCTCCCTGTTCTCCAAGTGTATGCTGAGAACTGGGTATACCTGAGAAGGAAAATTAGGGTGAATGGGACTGAACCTTCCCTCTTTCCCTGCTCCAGTCAGGTCTCCTGGAGAAGAAGCCTGTGCCCTTGTCCAGATTGTGAGACACAAAAGCTTCAAGCAGCATCTCAGCACCAAGTACAGGAGGCTGGGGAGCACAGGAGCACTATATATCATGTATACCTCCCAGATAGCAAATATAACATGAAACTCCCATTTGTGTAATTCTATTTCCTATTGCATCTCTCACTAATGAATGTCACAAATACCAGGCCGTCCAAAAAACAAATTACCTCCTATATTAGGGAGTGCAATATGTCTCATTTCAGTGCTTTATGGTATTCACAAATACATGCTGACACAATCAGCTACAACACCAGCCTGTAATTTTCCATGGTGTGTGATGTGTCAGAGCAAACGCTTGTCAGTTAGGGGATTTCAAATAGATGAAGACTGCAGAAAACCACAGAAAGGACATTGGAGATTTGGATGAAACTAAACAAGTTTTGTAAAAATGGAAAAGTGGATTATGATGATCTAGTATTTAGTTTGCACCCTCCACTGCAAAAAAGCAACAAAAGAAGTTAATGAATTCTAGCTCATAGAAACCTTCAGATGCAGTGTTTTAGAAAATGATGAGTGAAACCATCCCACTGCAGTCTTAAGAAGGTCACTTGAGGATGGACATTTGGGCACTTGCTCCTTCCTCCTTGCCACCAAATATTTTCCTTTTTAAATAACCTTGGAACATATCCTTTAATATAGGAGTCACAAAACGGTGGCTCAGTGACTCAATTTGGCTTGCACATATGATTCTTCTGAGTCACAATTTTAAAAAATAAATGAGTTGCCAAGGTGAAAAAAAGTTATGAGCTTTTATATAAAAATCCTTATTATTGGTTTCTCTTGAAAAAATTGGCAGACCCAACAATACTGGGAAGCATTCTCAAACTCACTCATTAATTCACCTATCAAATGTCTGTAAGTCATTTACATTTAGAAGGCTCCATACAAGGCGCTAGGGAAACAGTGGTGAAAAATGGGGAGAAGTCCAAACTCTCACAGGGCTCACATTCTAGACAGGAAAGAATTACAGTGTTTTTAAAATTAATGGTAAAAGAATTAATGCAACTGGGTCACTGATTTGGGTTATAAGTGAAAGCTTCTCAGAGGGGATGGCATTTGAGCAGAGATTGAGATGAGGGGAAAGAACCCATCAGGCAGGAATCAGATGGGAAGAGGAGATGGGCTGGGAAGAAGTTCATTGTGGCTAGGGATCCCAAGAAGGAAAGTGTGGCTAGGGAGTAGTTGTGGGGAGAGTGCTATGAGATGAGGTTAGAGAGTGGCAGAGGCTGACTGGCTCCTAAGGCACTTTATAACGAGGCTGGATCTGTTATAAAATGGAAGTCGTAGATAGCTTTAAGCTGCTTTGATGTATATTTTGAAAAGGTCATTCTTCCTACATTGTAGAGAATGAGAGGAATGGGGCAGGAGAGGAGGTGAGAGACTCACTGCCTACTGCATAGTTCAGGTGAGAGATGATGGCAGCTCAGACTGACAACTGAGTGGACAGCTCAGACTGACAGCTGACAAGGAAAATGGGGTAGATCCTGAGGAGTAGGAAAGGCTCCTGGACAGCCACCTCAGCCTCCCAAAGTGCTGGGATTAACATGTGTCAGACACCACATCCAAACAAGAGAAGTGGGTCTCATTCAGACCATATTTTAGAGAGTGTGCAGGACTCACTCATAAATTGGATGGAAGTGAGGGAAAAAAAGAGAAATGAAAGATGAAGGCTAGAGTCAAGGCTTAAATTGTGTTTATCTTAACCAAGATGAGGGATACTAGAGAAGTAGCAAGTTTTGGCTAGTAGGAAGTTAAGCATTCTTTCTGGGCTATATTAGGTAGGAGATGTGAACTAAACGTACACACAGGGATATCATAAAGGCAGTTGGATCTTAGAGTCTGGAGTTCTGGGGATAAGTGTGGACTGGAGATGAAAATGTAAATGTGGGTGCTGTTTCTTGTCCTGGCAAGAAACAGATGACACACTTAAAAAAGGAGGAGAGTTTCATGAAGAGACTGTATAAAGTTGTGGGCAAATAGTTAAGGAAAACCAACAAGGGATGGCTAAGCACTCCAGAGCTAGCAAGAAAGGGGAGCCACCTTCACCCTGGAGATCTGCAGGGTCAAGGGGAAGGAGGGCTATCAGGAGCTGGAGAGAGAGGCTGTTCGTGCCATTTCATGGACCTGGTGAGGAGGGTACCCGGGGAGTCAAGGTGGTGACGTCATCCCTCCCCACCCTCCAGTCTCCTGATGACTCCTCCCACTGGACATGCAGACCAGGAAACCAGAGGACAAGGAGATCACACAGGCCAGCCTTGAAGTACACAAAGCTGGTCTCCTGATTTTGCATGAGGCAAGATCATCAGCTGAAGGCTGCTTATGGGAGAGGTACGGTGAGCTGGAGCAAGTGGAGAGGAGAGGAGAGAGAGCTGTTTTGGAGTATGAGAAAACAAGCACAGGAGAATGGAGTAGATCCTGAGGAGTAGGAAAGGCTCCTGGAATCCACCAGCTATAGGTTTAAAGTGAGGTCAGCATGTTTTCTTCCCCAGCAAAACTCGGTTGCTCAGGTGCAGGTGTGCAGCAAGGGAGTGGCTTTGCGAGGTGAGCATGACAGAGGCAGAGATGGGTGGGAAGGAGAATGGTGCTTGCATGGAAATGTCACTTGGGAAAGGTCAGCTAGAGCTGAGATACTCTGCCCACTGTGGCTCACCACGGACATCCCCGGCCCTGGCCTCATTTCATTCATTTCACCTCACTTACCGGGCCCTGGAGGACATTATGCTTAGTGAAATAAGCCTGGCATGGAAAGGCAAACATCACATAGTCTTATTTACGTGTTAATAAGTAACATGTAAGTAACTACGGAAGTTAAACTTACAGAAGCAGAAAATGCAATGGTGGTTGCCAGGAGCCGGGAGTGGGAGGGATTGGGGAAATGTCCACCAAAAACATGAAATTTCAGTTAGACAGTTGGGATAAGTTCAAGAAATGTATTGTTCAATGTGGTGACTATAGTTAAAAATGAATTGTATACCTGAAAATTGCAAAGGCAGGTTTTTTGTTGTTGTTTTGTTTTGTTTGTTTTTGAGACAGTATCTCGCTCTATCACCCAGGCTCCCAGGCTATAATGCAATGGCACAATCTCAGCTTACTGCAACCTCTGCCTCATGGATTCAACTGATTTTCCTGCCTCAGCTTCCTGACTAGCTGGGATTACAGGTGCACGCCACCATGCCCTGCTGGTTTTTGTATTTTTAGCAGAGACGGGGTTTCACCATCTCGGCCAGGCTGGTCTTGAACTCCTGACCTTATGATCCATCCACCTCGGCTTCCCAAAGTGCTGGGATTACATGTGTCAGACACCACACCCAACCAAGACAGTAGATTTTAAGTGTTGGTACCACAAAAGGTGAAACGTATGTGAAATAATGTATATATCAAGTAATGTTAATTAGCTTGATTCAGCTATTCCACATTGTATACAAATTTCAACATGTTGAATACTACACATATATACAATTATTATTTGTCAATTAAAAACTAACAGTTAAAAAGAATCAAACCTTAGTTGATGAAGTAAGCACACTTTATCTTTTCACAAGTCTACTCAGGCTTATAATCATTTCATCATCTCTTTAGTATAGACCTTTGACTCTGATGCCAGGCTATGTGAATTCAGTCTCAGCTTTGGCAGCTGTCTGGCCTTGGGCAGGTCACTTAACTTCTCTGTGCTTCACTTTCCTTACCTGTAAAACAGAAATAATAATGATACCTCCTTCAAAGGGTTGTTTGAGGATCAAATACGTTTAATGCTTATAAAATACTTAGAACCACACCTGACTTGTAGTCTGTGCTGTATAAATGTTAGCTATGTGATTGTTACCATTATTATCATGATGTGTTAAGAGCACCAAAGAGGGAGAGAAAATGGTCAAAGGAAGTGGAGGCAGGTTACTTTCCTCGACTTGGATGCTTTCTCCTTTCCCGTTCTTCCTGTGCCAAGGTAGACTGATTGGGGTCTTAGCCACATTTTCTCTCAAGGTCAACAGTCAGCTAGGATTTATTTTTCTCTTTATTTTTTTGTGACATAGATGACAGCTGGCATTTAAAGAAATAGTGGAGAGGTTGCTAGGATAGAGCAAGCATTAGACTTGGATTCAGAAGTCCTGGGGCTGGCTGAGCCCCAGCATGGAATGACTGGGCAGTCCACGACAACCTCTTTAGTTTACAGATGAGGACACTGAGTCCCAGAGATTTTGGCTTCAAGATCTTCAAGACCTCATGTGGGTCCAAAAGTCTTAACTTTGGTTTCCAGTGGGTGCTAATTATAAATCCAAGTCCTGTGAAAACATAAAAAGGAACCTAGGAATCAAATGGTCAAGAATTGTGTTGATTTCTGCAGTCCTGGTCAAGAAAAGGCCATGTTTATAGCTGGCATTCAATCTCCTGTTGGGAGTGGTAAAGGCACCAAGCCAGGGATTTTGTTAGTTCTTGGATCCAGAAAGTTGTACGGTTGTTCCAGTGAGTTTTATCACCTCGCTAGTACTGAAAGGGCACAGGCCTCTGGTGCTATTCTAGGCACTGTGATTTCAAATAGTGCTTGAATGATCTTTTTTCTTATCCAGAATATCTTTGACACAGCCAATGCACTGTGGAATCACCTATAGACATTTAAGTCAGATTAGGAGATTTTCTTTTTGATTGCTTCATCTCATTCTCCTTCTACCCACCTATTCCTTCAATAACCTCTACTCACCCCCTTCCAGTGGTCAGCTGAGCTTTGCTCTAACAATGAGAAGAAAACCCCCATTTAGTGCATGCTCTCAGGGCTGGATAGCACGGGAATTGGTCCACCCAACTTTGGAGTAAAATAAGTTATGAACCTCGGAGGAGATTTGACAGAGGAACCCACTGACTTATGTCTTTTGTTTTTCCCTCCCTGGCCTCCTCAACTCTCTCTCACTTCGGCTGACAAGAAAAGGTGCTTTCAGAGGGACAAGGTTGATATTTTTATTTGACTGAGAAAACCACACACTTCTGCCCCCTATAATATATATCTGACCAGACTGTGGGACTTTAGGTGTTGCATCTAACTTCCCCACCAAGGGCCCAGGGCTCATTGCCCACATGTTCCCACAAGCGGCATCAAAGGCTGTTTTCAAAAATGAAAGACGAGTGAGCAGACGCAGTGTGTCACATCAGCAACTTTTTTTTCCCCAGTTCCTTTGCAAATGGAAGTTTATGAAAAGGAGCACTAACTCAAATCACAGAATCCTATGTTTGAAGTAAATGGTCTTGCAACAAACATTTCCGCCTGCAAATGTCTAAACCTTTCAAAAGATGAAAGGAAATTAATGCTGGCGTGTTTCATTAATTTGGCACCACCATGGAGGAAATGTGGGACTCATTTCATTTGGGTGGATTATGAAACGTGTCAGTTTTTCCATTCTCTTTCTCCAGGGCATTTTTTTACTGCAAGGCCTGTCATGATGACATCACAGATCCCAAAAGAATAAAAAAATGTGGCTGCAAACGGCGTAAGTAATGCTTCTCTCCCCGTCCCCTCCCTCTCTCATTCCTATTCCCGAAATTCCATTTCCTTCCCTTTCCTTATTAGAGAAACACTAAACATCAAGAGTTTTCTTGAGTATGTTTATGTTTCACCCAGCAGTTTAAAGAAATAGGAAATAAATACCTGTCCTCGCTTTGATAGATCAGGGGATGATAAATCACCACCATCCACACCTGGGAATGAACCCTGTGCCTAGTCCCTGCTTCTTCACCCTAGAGGCGACTCAGTAGGTGCGTCTAGTCTAACCGAGACGAGTACGATGAATAATAAGGAGGATAATTAAGCCGTAGAGAACAGAACAAAGTGTTTTTGTATAGTGATTTCCAGTAGATTGGGGACCCCCGACTATATAGGGTTGAGAGAGAAACTAAATCTGAGGACTTGATCTCCAAAGTGGGAGTTGACTCTTTCCATTTGGAATTCCTGCCAGTTTTAATACCACAGGCTAAAGTTTGCAAACTGTGATACCTTCAGACTGCCCCCAAGAAACGAACTTTCCATTGTCTAAGGGCTTACATTGCCATCGTCCCAAAGGTCGACCTCAATCACCATCGCTCTTTGGGGTAGACTGGACCGAGCTCAGTTGTTTCTGGCACATCCTGTCTCAAGTCCCTTCTAAAGCAGTTTGCTGCTGGGGCCTCTTGAGAAAAATAGGGTAAGTCCAGACGTGGAATTGTGAGCTCCTGAGATACCATGACTTAAGTGGCCTTTGCTTTGAGAAGGTTGTGTCTTTTGCAGTAATTATGCTGTATTGTCTAATAGAAATTGTTCTCAACCCTTGAAAAACAACAAAAAATAATGGTGCCATCCTTCCTATGGTGTTAGTGTTTTAAAAGCTTCTTATGATCACTGCTTTGATTCTCACCCAAACTCCATGTAATTGGCAGGAGGTGTTATTAATCCCATTTTACAAAAAGAAGGAACTAAGCTTCCAAGTTTGAGAGGATGAGATTGCAGACAGTTACACAGCCAACATACAGGGATTTGGGCACACCTGAAGGCCTCTCTTGATTCTCTTGTGCTCTCACAGTTTTTTCAGGACGGAAAGGCAAGATGGGCAGTCTTAGGTCTGATGAGTAAGAACAATTATGAAAGATCACCCCATAAAATACTTTTTCATAGGCAGAAGTCAGACAGAAGAGGTATGCCACTGAAGGAAGGACCTTTTTCACTGTATTCCTAGAGGGGGGTTCAGAAAATGTAGAACCAGTCATCTATAAATTTCCCTCAGCTGGAGCATAACGAAGTTCCTCAATCCATGGGGAAAATTCCACTGGGGTGCACTGTTGGTCTAGAGAAATTTCTGCAGAATTCCCCTCAGGATGGGACAGCTTAGGCCCATGGGGTTTCTCCCCTGCTTTCCACTGACTTAACACACCTGGTCCCCTTTCCCCAGACTCTTACCAAGATGAGTGTTTATTGATGTCTCAAAACAAGAGCCTCTAATTTCTTGGGATCTAAGAATTCCCTGATTCTGACAACCTACCAAGGAGAGCGTCTAAGAAAGAACAAGGCATAGAACAAACCTCACTCCCCATTCAACCCCCATAGACTCCATGAATCAGAGGACTTTCTTCACCAGGCAGTCCATCCCAGCCATGCTCAGTTGGTTGCAGACACAGCAATGCAGCAGAGTTGACCAGACATCTCCTAGATCATTTCAATCAGAAGGTACACAACAGTCTGAGGGTTGACGCAATAAGACAGAACAACAAATACAAGAGATGAACTCTTCTGTAAAGATACTCAAGTAGTGAGGGGTTGGGAAAGGGAGGAAAGTGAGGCCAATAACCCATGACAGAATATCAAGGAATTAGCAAGACTGTGATTCACATATTGGTTGACTGTTCACCTATTTTTGAGTATCTTCTTTGTATGAGGTGCTATTTTTGGTTCCAGGAACGGAGTGGTGAACAAGGTAAATTCCGTGCCCTCCTGAAACCTTCACTCCGGTGAATGGAGACAAACCATGATCATGTATGATCAAGTAAATAAATTCAGAGACAGCCAGTGCTAAGAAGAGAGAAGAGATAGCTTGAGGGCTGAGGAATACTGCAGTGGTGCTACTTTACAGCTTGGAAGGCCAGGAAGGCCTCAGTCGGGGGTGATGTCGGGAAGGCCAAGACGCAATCCAGACAGGGAGAAGAGCAAAGGCCAAGATCAGGAGGCAGGAATGAGTTTGTAGTGTTTTAAGGATGGAATAAAGGCCAGTGGCATTGGGAAGATAATAGTATGAGATGAGATTAGAGAGGGAGGGTGGTGCCATGGTAAGAAGTGTGGGTTTTAGTCCTATATTGGAAAGCCATTGGAAGATTTTACATGGGGAAATGTCATCATTAGTTCTTAGTTTAAAAGATGTCTGTGGTGTTTGGATGGAGAACATTCTCAGGAGGAAAGAGTAGAAGTGGAAGTATGAAGTGAGAACTTCTCTGACTCTTGCTCTGACATTGGAATGTCCCTCATAGGACACCATAGCAGAACACAGCAGACTAAATTGTCCCTAGAAACAAGAAATAAGGATTTGGCCTCAAGGCTATTTTTCCACCTTGGTTCCAGACAAGTAAACAGCAGCAGACCTTAGCTTCATCCTGGAGAGAGAGGCACATAATTGTTTGAAATAATTTTATTCTTTTCATTTCCCTTCAAGTTGGTGAAGCTAGTACGGTATGTAATCTCCCATACGCACTGCACCAATTGCTGCAAAAGGCCTGCTTCTACAAAGCCACGCCAGTGTGACAAGGGCCTCGCTTCCTTCTCTTCCCTCCTCCCCCAACCTCAGCTTCTTCATCTCACAAAGGCCCTTGGCTATGTGACAATCAGAATTACCCAAATATTTTTCTTCTTGATTAAAAGGCCATAGAACAGAGGGCAGGATGCAGATGTGTGTGGGGGGTAAGGGGGTGATTAGAATAAAATGAATTATTGAAAATAAACCTCCCCATGTAAGTCAGGCAAGTGAGGAAATTGGAGAAGATATGTTTTGGTTGCAAAGAAACTTTAATTGGAAGAAACTAGGATTATTAATAACACACTGGGGGGACTCCCATGCCTTCAAACAGACATTGCTTGTTTGCCTGTCTAAGTTGGAGAAGACAGCTGACCCACATACTCATCTGTCCAAACCTGTTAGTCGAAGGAATTAATAATTCACCCTGGAATGATGGATTCCATGAGGACAGAGCTCATGACGATCACTGGCCCTTCCCCACAGCTTCCTAACCCTTCTTCCCCAACCCAGTCTTCCCCTTTCACTTCCACCCCAACCTCCCCATTTCACTTTCATTCAGTAACCGTCAACATTTCACATCATCTCATCCAGAGAAATATCAGGTGCGGACATTCCATTTCTGGAAATCCTGTGATCGTATAGCTTAACGTTTGCATTTCTTTCCATTTCTTCATAGCTCTCTAGCAAGGAAAAGAGTCAAATTCAGCTGTCTGGCCAAGGAGCAAGTTCTCAGGATCTACTATTTATCCATTTTCTTTTTCTGTATAATAAACCTTGTCTAATGATTTACATTTTTTCCCCCAGCCTCTAAAAGTTTGCCAAAGTGTGGACTCCTAGGGGACAAGTCATGTCTACTTTGATGTGTTAGAAGGAATTTCTTTGACTTCAAATCATTGACATATCTTTGATTTATTTTTTTTCTCTTTGCTGCCTTGGAATACGGCCCCTACTCTATTTTAACTGCACACTGGTAGTGATATATTGTGAGTAAAACGGGTTCCCAGCAGCCCGGAGTCCAGTTCCCCCTGTCTTTCTCTAGAAGCGATACTCTTTTAATTTTCTGTACAGTTTTAGTTTCCTTTTTAGTTTTGGTATTTATGTTGCATGTAGCAGTGACATCATGCCACAACTCCTTCATCTCCCAGTGCAGCCTACAGAGTAGCCTGGATCCGGAGAGTCCACAGGGAACCTGCTCTCCATCCATCCACCCCAGTCCCCAGGCTCTGGTCAGCTTCGGGCACTGTCTTATTTTTCCATTTGAAAATAAGACCTTGACAACAGTGTGTTTCTCTTGAAGGCCTTGTCTCAGGACTTTTAAGGGACACTGATTAGACTGAAGTAATTACCACTGTAGCTCTAGATGCTTCATCAGCTGGGGTAATTGTCATGCTTGCCTTTGATAAATTATACTTGGTCTCCTTTGCTATTAAGCTTGAATTCCTTTCCTAAAGGAAACACATTTGCCGCATATATAGTCCCATGTTATCATACATATATGTATACACAATATCTACCATGATGTAAAAATGCATATTTTTCTATATAAGAGTAGAGAGATTCCATAGAGTGATGTGTTTATTGCAGTATATGCCTCTCTGTATGAGAAGTGCTTGCTAGATAATTAATTGGTTACTCAACTTTGGGACTGTAAGTATCTCAATTGTCTTACCAGAGACAAGCATTTGCACAGTGGTAATTATTTTCTGCAGTCTATGAAGTTCCCTTGCTTTACAATAAAGTTTTTCTTTTAGTCAGTACTCAGTAGGATATACCCAGTTCCTTTATGAGTGTTAGTCAGACATCTTGGAAGATACATTTACCTATTTAAGGCAGAAAAGCTGACTGAGGTGAACATTCCATTTCAGCAATGAGCTATGTCTAAGTCTGAACAAGTCAATGTAAGTGTCTGAGCCTCTAACTTACTCAAGGAATAGGATGCCCTCTCGCTCAACAAAATGTGGCCATTGAGGAGGAGCTTTTAAGGCCAGCATTGAGCTTTGGGTCTTTAATCATGTTTGTAAGACTCTACTAAAAAGGAGACCCAGTCTGTGGCACAGTTCAGTCCAATGACTCTGGAATTTGGAGAAGATGTTTCAAATTCAGTCCTCTCATTCCTTTGCAGAAAAAGAGGCAAGTTGATTATCTGATTTGGGTTAATCATCAGTGTTTGCATGGTATCAATTGCTCACTTTAAAAACAAAACACAATGATGATCTTCTTCAATTCAATGCGCAATCTTGCCAAAATTGACTCTGTGGCTTTCTTCATTGACAGAATCCTTTAACACACGGCTAGAGGGCATGGCCCACTTTCACACCTGCAGAGTTTCCTACTAAATTGAACATTCCTTCAGAATTGGAGAGAAAATATGATGTCAAACAACCAACAACTCTAGTGCCAAATACTTCTGCCTTCCTCAGCCACAATATGGTCATTGAGGGCAGAATCAACTAGCTCAGCGTGCTCTGTGCTGCCAACATTAACTAGCTTTTTCTTTCTCCTCTGTTTTTGGAAAACCACCTGGAAGACCTTCCTTCTTACTCCAGAAGGTAATGGGAGGAATTTTACTAAGTGAAGATGTCGATCCTCATTTATAGGACTTGAAAGAAGATTCTCTGATTCCCTGTGCCACATCAAAGGCCTCACCTTAAATACTGGTGGACTTTTTCTTCCGTGGATTTTTGTATTAGTAATGTTAGTTGCTTCAGAGCACATGAAGAGTAGCTCCAGGGTTTATGCTTGGAAATAAGCCTCCTTCATTGGACTGATTTTGAAAGCGAGGTGGTGACCTGAAAAGTATCTATTAATTGAATGGCAGATGTTTTTTTCTTCCATCCCAGTCTTCCCTTGAATTTACTCCATTTGAAATCTAAAATATTTTTCCCCAGCCGTTGGAATACTCCACCTGGGCTCCTCAATCCAGCACTGCTTTTTCCTGCCCCTTCCAATCCATCCTGGAAATTAAGATTCTGCAATTGGAAATTGGCTGACAATTTGGTTGCTGATGCAGGAGGCAGATGGTGCTGAGGATAGGATGGAATCCAATTCTTTCTTTCATTCCAGGCTTGGCTCAGAAAGGCCAGCCAGCAGAGAACCTGAGTTTGACAGCCGATTATCCATTTGACTCAAGGAAAGAGTAGTAACTGAGCTGCGTCTTCGGCAGCCCCTTTCCGACAGGTTTCTGGTCTCATTCTTACAGCAGCCTTTGAGAATACAGGAAAAGTTGTCCAAGAACACCTCTGAGAAATCTTTTTGTTTTAAACACTCAGGAGTAAACATAGTTTTGACGATGTCCATTAGGAAAATACTTTTATTTTATCTCTGTAAATAGTACTAGGAAGTCATAATGGAAATATTGGTTGGATATCCACTTCACTGTGGTGAAGAAAAGCACATAAAAGCTTTTTCTCAAATTGCGAAACTTCTAGGACCTAGGTCTTTGGGGAAGGTGAGACCCAGGGTCAAATTCTTAGCAACCACATAACCTCATGGACTCTGTGCCCTGGTCCAATAACAAGAACCTTATGATGTGGCCAGAGGGTAAACTGAGTCCCTAGAGCCTTGTATTTCTGCTTTCCTAGAGTTAAGTTTGCCTATGGGGGCAATTAATTGAGCATGAAATTTCAAGAGCCCTAAGATGGAATGATAAGTAGCTTTGGTGTTCACACTTGCCAGAGACACACTCTTGTCTGCTCCCAGTCTGAGGAAGCTGCAGCAGGGCTTTGAAAGAAGACCCTGTCTGTTGCCACTGAAATAGTCCTACTGTGCTGGCTGTGGCTGCAGACCCTAGGCTCATCTCCTAGGACCTCTCACCCATTCATTTCCCCTACCCCTAATCATCTGCTGTGGATCCTGAGAAGCCATTGAATTGAAATGACACTGCACATATTTCAATTCTTAGAGACAGCAGGGCCCTCTTTTTGCTCCTTTTGGAGAAAAGCTAGTTCCAATTGTCAGTGAACTAGCTGCTCTTCCACATAGATCCACTAGATGTCCTCATAGATCTACTTTGTATTACCATTGACTTCCCGGGGAAAACCTTGTCTGAGAATTGGGATTTGGGAAGGGAACAATGGGTGACTATGTAAGAAAGAAAATTAGCAAACACCAAAGGAGAGAGGATGTTTTGTGTGGCCAGGGAGTAGATAAGAAACTTACTTCTGTTTTAAATAAATCCTGAAACTTTCAAAGTTGCACTTTGAGACCTAACCTTGGGAACTTAAAGTGGAACTCTTTGTATCTAAAATTAACCTTCTAACCTAAATCAGCTCTAGAAAAGGAAACAATCATTGAGAAATGGAAACACAACACCAGCGGCTCTGAATATCCATGACTCACTGAAACAAAACTGAAGGATTAGGAAGCTGGAGAGAGATGAGGGTTGGTAATTTCCAAATTAGGAGGTCCACGACTTAATTTAGATATAATTCAGTTTTACAACTTGAGAGTATAATTTTACACAGAGAGTGTTCAACTCTTCTGGAACATCTACCACCAGGAAGACAACTCCTGATCAGCTTTTAGTTAAAGAGCTTTTTCATGATTTGTATAATGGCCCAGAGGAGATCTCTTCCTGGCCAGTACTCATATCCTTCAAGCCTGATGAATCAATCACTCCACCACATGGGAGGTCTTACCTTTTAAGAAAGTGGACCCAGAAGTCTCTAGGTGAAGACACCTGACAGGGAGTCAATGGAAATGGACTATGCCAGCAGTAGCAAAAAAGAGCCACCCTCCCAGTTGGTGGCACCTTGATGTAAACATTCTGATTCATGAAGGTTTGTCAACGTGTGGGGCTCATTCGTTTTTAGCTGTTTCTGTCTTGTCTTTGAGCCTCTCATTGATCATTCTTGCTGATTTTTTTTTGTGTGTGTGTGTGGTGGTGGTACTTGTTTGTCTTTTGAGATTTATATTTTGCATTTGGTGTGAGTGTAAAAATGACTGGGAAGGAATGACAAGTAATAGCATGTTTTCTTTTTTATGCATATGCTGCTTTCGAATGTGACTGCTTATAATTAACAGTTAATCTTCTTATAGCAAATGGTTTTTTGCTGCTTCGATGACCAGTTTCAGTCTGTTCCTGCATGCTAACAATAAAAAATTTTAGAACAATGCATGATCACCAGAAATAACAGTTGCAAACAGTCCCTGAGAGCCACTGGTTTGTCGCTGTGTTTCCTCCTGAACTTCTATCAAGTAGGAGGTTTACATCACCTATTCTGATCCATTTGCCTCTGAAAAAAATAGTTTCAAAAGTTATTTCATCCCCATCATCCCTCCCCTTATCCTTATAGATGGTATATTTATAAGATCTTTCTCTCCCCGTAAATGTGTCATATTCTATTATTGTATATAAGCCCAAAATGGCACTATGGAAATGAGAACCAGGGACTGTTGCTAATGAGAAGCATAGAATTCCAGAGTTTGATGGGCTTCTCTTCTGCTACAGCATTTGATTTAAAAAAAATTGTTTTTCAAAATGATTTATCTGCAGCGAAACAAAAAATCATTCTTGTTTTCCTCTTCTGTGTAAATAACAAATCAATATTTCCAGTAAAAGAACTAAGAAGGAGAAAACAAGGGAGTGTCTGCAGGTTGTATGCCAGATCCGGATGCATTTAAGATAAATTTATGTTCATGACTTTAACTGAAGACTTTTTTCCCTTTGTTGACTTTAGCCATTGCTGTTTCTTTGGGATGTCTGGGCATTCACACCATGCCTTCTAAATTCCTCTGATTCAAATGCTATAGTGGAACTTTTTTTTTTTTTTTTTTTTTTTTTTTTTTATTAATCATAGTTCTGGGTTATCTAGTGCCTGAAAAC